AAAGAATGTTTTGTTAGAGGAAACTAAAAGGATGTGGCACATTAGCACAGCAAAAACAAAGGCTGAGAGGATGGGAGATTGCTGTCTACAAACACATCAGGCACTAAACAGTAGGGAAAGAAGTAGGCTTTTCAAAGCAGGATCAGTGTACAGCACAATTTCATAAAGGTTTCACTACAACTTAATTAAAATTGCATTAGAAATTAAAAGAGGGAAATTAACTAAAGATTAAAGCTTTTCAGTTCTCGGACTATTTTCTAATAGGAGTAGTCAAGGTAAAAAAACCCACCTAATCTAAAAACACAGCTTAATAAATTAATGATAAGAGTTAAATGAAGTGATTGCCTTAAAAAATTAGCTACTGGGACTTGATTTATAGTAGATCTTCCACAGTTTTATCTCCAGGATTCTCAGGTCAGTCAATGCATCTGCAGTGTGAGGATGAGGAAAGCCTGAGCTGGGAAGTGACAAAAAGGTAGAATAAGGAAAAAGGTCACAACTAGAGAGATAAAGAAGGGGGAAAAAAGGGAAGAGAGGAAATTAGATCTTAGGAAAGAGAACAGAACAGAATGATTATGAAATAAAATATATTAAAATATGTAGCTAACGAACAAGAAAGAAAGTAGAAAGCAGAAAGATTGAAAGAGTAAAAATATTTCCTTTCCTTTACATTTACAAAGCTTAGTTTTCTGATAGAAGGACAGACTGTAAAATACTAAAATACCTTTTAAAAATGTTGGAATGCAACAGGTAGTCACAGGTATATCACCTATACCCATGTGAGTACTGACTTTTTTAAGAGAGGATTTCCCTCATGGCAGGATGTGCAACCACTGATCTAAGCGTTTCACAAGGACCTTGCCAGAGAGAACAAAACATACTTTCCTCTCAAACCTCTGCTAACCATTCTCTGAAACATCCAGGTCAAAAAAAAGTCTTGCAGCCCACCTGAAGGTGAGCTCCTCCTGGCTCTGTGGGATGAGATGCTCCTTCCCCCCACCACTATCCTGTTTCAACCACCAGCAACCAGACCCCTGTACCTGCCCTAGAACAACCTCTCTAGTGTGAGCACTCAAATTAACCATTAAATGCAGTCTTAAATAAATATAGATTAACAGAAAGGGCTTTAACAGAGTGTTTTGGTCTCTCTCTCTCTCTCTCTGAAGGAGGGATGCTATACAAATAGGTTTACCTCTGAATATCTGCTACAAAGTGTTTCCCTTCAAATGTCAAACCAAACCCAGTGCTACATTAGACCCTTCGGAAGTCTGAAGGATTCTCAGGAACTGTGTCTTGTGATTAATCTGTATATCACTGGTATATATTATACATACTGTTCCCCAAGACATCATATTTCACGTATTGCCCATCTGCATCCTCAGATCTGCAACAGAGGAAATGTACAGCTGACAACTTAATATGCACTTCCTTTATGCCCCATGGCTGCCTAGCTCTGTGGAGCTCTGCTCCTCCCCAGTGCCAGCCTCTCAGGAAACATATCCCTCAGCCCTAGAGCATTCAAGGGTCCTCCACAGGAATGGGTGGGTGAGTTGAAGGGGATGAATGCCATGTTTGCACTGGGGAAACACAGTAAAACACTGACTGTAATAAAGGCCTCAAGTGGAAATGCTGGTCCTATTTAAATTGCTGTGAAATATAGCAGACTGTCTCCCAAGCTTAAATTGTCAGCAATAGGCACAGAATATGGCTAAGAAGTTATTTTTCTTGAAAAACTTAATGATTTGTAGTGGGATGTTGTCTTCATAAACATAGTTGTATTATTCTGTTGTGGGGTTTCTTTTTTCCAAACATGCAATAGAAGAGTGAATGGTAAACATGTTTGAATACTGCTCCTCATTTCCTTTTGGGCCCCCAGTCAGGAAATGTTGAAAATCAGTGTTGGTATTGCTGGAGATTAATGGCTGCTGCTCAGAAAGCATACAGAAAGGGAATATATTCCTGCCAGGACAAATACATAGGCCACTGGACAAAAATCTGTGAACCACAGATAGGACTATATTATCATTGAAACCATCCACAATGCCTGTGTTGCTCTGTAATTAATAATATTCACATGTGGGTTTGACTGAAATAACTGTAACAACCAGGTAAATTAATGCCATACCTTCATGGTCTAATTTATTCTAAGGTATCTGAAGTTTTCTTTTAAAATCAGCTTTATGGCATTTAAAAATTAGATTTCTCTTCCAGCTATAGGCAGAAATCCTTCATGGATTTTTTTACCCCTATATACTCAATATGGATTTAAAGACTGCGTAATCACTGCTTTTTTTATATGAGTGACTGGATCTCACAAGAGAAAATACACTCCACTGAGCTATAAGGCCTTTAAAATCAATCCCTGTCATCAGTTCATTTGTTTCCCACTCTCCTTCAGAGAGGCTGTACTTTGGGGCTCTCCAGCTCCATGTATATTGGGACACATCACTGCAGCTTCTGTATACTTCTTCTCCCCTTTTGTTTTCTTACAAAATAAGGAATAGGCTACAGTGTTCTTATGCATTTATGAAAAGCTTTCCTCCTCTATATTCAGTAAATTCACAGGGTCTAGCCAGGGAACCTGAAAACAGGAAGAGCTGAGTCCAACTTGGTTCTAGAAGCTAAAGCACAGGCAAGCTACGTGAGGTCATTATTTAAAAAATAATACAGTTAAAAATTATGACATAAAACATCACTAGCAGGGTATATCCCCATGGTCTTCTGTCATGCTTGCCTTCAAAATGAAGAGCTGTGGGGTCAAGTCCTAAAGTAAGGACTCAAATTTGATACCAACACCAGTGTGGCATGGATCTCTGTTTTCTTTGTTGTTACATGATGTGAATAGTGGACTAAGCTCATGATACACATGAGTACATTACCAATTTACCCTGCTAACCCCATGGTCATCATGATCAGATTACTTCCCATGGCTGAGCTCACTGTTTAGGGGTTACTGTTTGGTGGTAGAGGCATAAGATGCCCCCTGCCTACGGCTGCTCAGTAAACAGTCATGGTATTTTATCCCATTTTTTAATTCAAAAAATAATGGATCTCCCTATAGATACAGCCTGCTGGTATTCTCAAACCAAAGTCTTCTTCCATATGCCTATATAATGTTTGTTTTGCCAGTATTGAAATGGCTTCAAAATAAACCCACAGTCTGATTTGTCAGTCTAACAAAACACCAGCCAGCCACCAGAGATGTCCAAACAGACCTGAAAATAAAAAACCATGAAATGACTCAGTGCATTAAGTCACTGTGACAGCCAGGAGGTAATACCAGACTATCTACTTCGGCTGAACTTTGCCTTGGCTCATCTTCATTTTGCACAGCGCAGATTGCAGCTATCCCCACCATCTCCATAGGGATTATGAGAACATGGGCAGTTCTTTGAAGGTTCCATAACTACCCCACGAAGTAAGAGCTTATGGTAAAGAACAGGGGAATTACTCAAATAAAAAAGATCACATTTATTGCCGCACTGGAAACATTAGTGACTTTTTTCACCTCCCCTTTCCAAACCACAAAGGTGACTTCAGGGTAAATTCTTTCTGAACAACACAAGCACGATACATTTCTCTTGAGGTTTGACTCTATTCACCACAGAAGCTACATGCTAGCTCCATCTTTAAAGAAGTGATATGTACAAATTTTTGTATGAAGTAAAATGAAGGACTATAAAATGGTTAGTGTTCTATAATGACAATTTCATTTATTCCTTTGCAAAATTGCAATTTTAAAAAATTTCTTTCCCTTTTTTTCTGCAGTTTTTCATTGTAAAGTGACCATTCTCTGTGTTTGACAAAATTATTTCTTTTGAACGCATGCTACCTGTAACTTGAAAGTACTTTCTGACAAACCAGAGGTGAAATATGCACAGAAAAAGTGATACCTAATGACACTTAATGAGACGGAATCTCATAGCTGTCATAACGGTGCAACTCAGGTGACTCATGTACCAAAGAGATTACAATACACTTCTTGTAATTGGTTAAGATGGTAACAAGTTCAAAATTGAAGTAAAAATGTTATGAACGTGGGTTTCAGGGGATAATAAGACCTTATATGAAATGCTAAATAATAATGGTTAACTAGAATGAAAAGATTAAGACAAAAAGTTTTCACACAGCTTGGGCAGCATTTTTCTGCCTGTCCATAGGTTCAGAGAATAATATCACTAAAGCATAACCAAAAGAATGTATAAATTTGGTAAGCAGTTCTACCACAGAAGGGGTAAGTCTCAAAAAGTCAGAAGTCTTCATAGGGACTATTTGAAATACCACGTTTCAGCTCCTTATTTTGAAATTCCCTGAAGGCTGACACTACTGAGAGTTCAATGACTTCTCAGCATTAAAGAGGATCTCAAAACTGGACAGACATTTGGGGGGACAAGTTGAGCGCTGACTGCCATCAAGGACTTACTACTGGGCAGAATTAACATGCAAATAGGGACAACTGAGGAAGCTTTCAAGCAAGCACTACTCCCAGAAATAAACCTAATGGATCTTTGAAAGGCAAAGAATGTGCAGAGTGCTGGACACCAGATGGGATATGCAGAGATTTGGCGGAACCCTCAGCAATATCTGAATATGCAGAAGTACCAGGGACATCTTAAGTTCATTTTCAGTATTACTGACTTGCAGATTTGTCTCTTGAACATTTTCATTAATTATGGTTATTGCATTCACTATATCTGCTTCTCTTGCCCCTCCCTTTTTTTCCCACCATCTGCAGCTGTGGTTGTTTTCTGCCTCACCTGCAGATCCCCGTTTCCTTGTGAATTCTGACAGGTGTTTATAATTTATTTTGCTTTGGTAGCTGCAGACAGAGATGGTAAATAAAGTAGTACTTAAAACTGTTAAACACCAACCACAGCTCTCTCCTTGCGATCCTTTGCCTTTAATTTGCATGTCCCTGTCTGTTAAGCCCTGTGCTCTTTGGACAACCCAAAAATAAATAGCTACATAAAAAAATATAGTTTAAAATATATTTTATTTACCTGCAATTCTCCTTCCATTATACTAAGCAGTTTTATCAAGTCCTCTTTAGAAAGCTCTATGGACTTCTTGTACTTTCGTTCAGAAGGTCCAGGTGATTTTGAGTGCCGTTTGACAGTTGCTGAAGCCATGACCTCATCTTCCTTCCGATGAGGTTTGTTCTTTTTCTTGGCATCCTCCTGAAGTTTTTCATTCTCTGCATGGCTGATGACAGGCTTGGAACTGGAGAAGTGCCCGTTAGACGAGCTTTCTCCACCTTGGTTTCGGGATCTCATCCCTGCCTAGAAAGAAACAAACATAAAGATGTATTTATAAACAAAATTATTTACAAAAAAAAGCCACAGTGGAAATACTGCTTTTGGAAAGAACAACAGTATGCTATAAACTGAAAATGCTGTGATGCTCAAGAGACTGTGGAAGAAAGCTCAACCATTTTAACAAATCTGTGTGTGGCAGAAGCAAAGTCCTAAAGTAAGGGTAACCATCATTTTCAGAGAGCCAAAATGCTAATATGAATTTAAATCTATGGAAATTAAAAGTGATGCAGGAAACTGGTAAATAACATGTTCCAGTGTTTTCTTCCTTCAGTTGACATTTTGATCATTTACAACTCAACACTGCAAAACAAAGCAGGTTGTTAAGTAGCTCTTATTTTAACATGGGATTTACTTGAGAAATAGAAATGCAATTAAATTTTAGAAAAGTATATTCCTTGAGTATAAATTCTCCACAACAGTGGAATGACAATGGCTTACAAAGGTCACTCTGTAGTTTCTCTCTGTGAAGCTATGATTTTATTCCAGGTAATGAAGAAAAATGGGGAATGCAGAGTAAATCAGTTGGCAAATAATGCATGAAAGTATTAGTAAGTGCTAGAGAGGAAAGTTGAAAAGAATTTTGAAAAAAGAGCACAGAAAACATGAAATCACTGAGAGGTAAATGGGCAAGATCAATGCAGTTTTTCCAGAAGATTCAGGGTATCTCTAAAATGTCAGGTCATGGTTATGGAATGTCCTCTTAAGCACCTACATTGTAGTCTTAGACTATGACAGCAAACATTTCTTAGCTCTATCACTTGACCTACTGTATTGCTAAATTTTTGTATCAATAGATCTAACGAATAATATTCCACTGTTTCCAAGTATTTCCTCTCACTTGAATTTATCTCTGGATTTAGCCTGCAGCTTGTTCATTAGTCAAACAGATGCTTCTCAACACCAATAACATCTCACACTTTTCTGATAAGGATTTCAGAGCAGCAGTTTACTAGTGATGGGGCAAAATGTAAAATACATTGACTAATCAGCTTGGCTAAATTATACTGGGCCTGCTCTGGCTTGCTACTTATTTGACTCAAGCCAGTGTTATAAATCTCTTGCTCACATTAGCCTTGAGCTTCTGTAGTTTCACACTCAGCAGGAAGATTGTCTTTTTATTATCACTTGATACTCATGTCTTCGTTAATTCAGTGGAATTTGTCCAGCATAAACGGAGAGAAAATTAGATCCAATGTTTTTGAGCAAGAGAGTTTCACAGAAATTCCTTGCATTGTAGGTCTGCTCCTATCCAAACAATACGTGATACAGGTATACAATGGCCTCTAGCTTCCTGAATGTTTATGCAGTGTGTTTTCCATCAAACAGTTTGGATTAAACACATGAATTGCACTTTCTAAAAACAGATCTCCATTATAAGCATGAACAATACCTGAGAACCTCAGGAAATCTTTTAGGTTTGGGGTTTGTAATGGAAAAATAAACACTGTACTATGTTTCCTCTCAGATAGGGCTTCTCAATTTGTTTAACTTTAATGGGTTTTAAACTTTCCAACCATGCTTCCTCTTGGGAGAGAGCACTTGGGATTCAATCTGTCTCTATTTTCTAAGTGCTTCCTTCTGAGTCCCTGTGGGTCACAGCCTCCAGCCACTTTCATCTCTAAACCAAACCTATTTTTTATGGCTTGCAGTGAATGGTTTCATAGCTCTAGCACATCCTACGTGTTTTAAGAATAAATATTTAAAGACTGTCTTGTAGATGTTTTCCAGTGGAAAACAGATTATTATATTACAGTATTCTGTTTAGTAACATGCCATGTTAATGATTTCTCTGTAGTAAGATGACTCAACTGTTAGACCTGAAGGTGCACAATTAATTTTAAATTGAACACTTGACTAATTGAGACACATCATCCACCTGAAGCACTGCATAATCACCCAGATTTAGTTAGCTGAATATGTTAGACTTCACAAAAAGTGGTGTGTCACTCTGTCAAATCATAATTCAAGACAGCCATTTTGATCCATCTGCCCCTGTGGGAGCTGAAATAACAATTCATGAAGTCATGTAAAGACTAAGCAGTTGACTATAGGCCTATAAGCCTGTTCACAGAGAAATTAGGAATGAATATTTAAAGTGTGCTTCTACTTCATGCAAATCAATATAGGCCCACAAAGGACAGATGCAAATTTATATTTTTTTTTCAAAATTCATTAAAACAGCAACAAATCAGCTTAATGAATTGACCTGGTGTTTTGTATCATCTGGCTAATTAGAATATGATTGTCGTTAAAGGAGATCAAACTTGGCCTCCTTAGAAATTTCTTTTAAACTTGCAGATTCATTTTGCAGCAAGTCTTACAGGGCAGTGACTGTGGCAGACAATCTGTCACTCTTGGAGGAGATGCCTCTGAAAGCCTTTCGTTTTGTTAAAGCCTGCCAAAATCAACGTAACACTAATACTTACACTAATACTTCCCTTGTAATGTTGATACTTTTCCAACATGTTATTCAAATGCAAAGGTGTCCTGTGTTGAAGCCAGAGATGCAGGTGATGGAAGCTTAAATGGTGACAGAAAGGGCCAAAGTTTTGATATTCACACTGTAATTTCCAAGGAGTTTAAGGGCCAAAGTCAACGGCACTATCCAGCTGTTGTGCAGTGCTCTAGGAATATAAAGCAGCTGTAAGGATGACTGAGTTTTAATTAGAGTAGCGTGAAGCAGCCAGAACATACCAGTGATCTTGGCCGAAATACTGTGTGCTGGAAAGGAGCGCGTAGTATTATCATTTTGGACATCCGTCTGTATTTCTGATGGCATCATGATAAAGAAGAAAAGGTTCTGAGCAGTTGCATGACATTATTTCAATGTGCAAATACTGAAATTCCAAAATTTTTGCTGATCTGTTTTTTTCACCAAGGTTCCAAAATTGATTCTGGGGACACAGCCAGTCTAACATTGGTAATAAATGACCTCCTGCCATCAGGCCCGATCACATCTTTGTATCTTACAGCATTCCTGATCTGCTGAAGGGATTGTGTTCCCTGAAGAAATAGCTGGTATGATTTATAATGACTTTAGCATTTAACTCTACTTTTTTCCCCCTCCAACCCTTGTCATATGGCCTATTAAACAAGAAGACTTTATATGATCAGTCACCTTGATTTTGACATTTATTGGCTACTCATTTCAATATGTGCTCACAGCATCGGTACTTGGCATGGGAACTCTTCAGCCCCTCTTCTATTTCAGTCCTTTGTTAAGCTTTAAGCACAAAGGACAAATGCTATGATTATTTACTTGAGTCTGTAGTGTTGTTCTGGGCATGGGTCCTTCAGTTTTCACAAGTTAGCAATCCACACAAGATTTTATGAAATAACCTTTATGTTAGTTTTACTGACATCAGGAGGAAATCTGTGAGGAATTTGCTGAGTAGGATGTCAGGAGAGGACAGGCTGCATGCTGTTCCAGACCCTTTCCCCACTGACAGCAATTTGTTCTCCCTATAGCTCTTGAAGTGACAGGTTAGGTTCTGTTACTAGTGCTATTAGAATCAGATAACGTAAAAAGGTTCTTTGAACTTAATATGCAGTCCCTCTTGCTAATCAGACATGCTGATTTTGGCTCCATAGTGCCTTCCCTTAAAACAATAATAATAATAATAATGTTATAATACACACACACACAAAAGTTGATTTAAAGCCATGATATGGTTGTTGCCATTGGCTATAAATTTGTAGTCTGGAGTTCAGTTGCAGATCTAACCGATTAGAGTATCACATGAAAGTGCTGGGTTTCTGACAGGCTAATAATGTATTGTATGGTCAGTGCAATTGGGTTTTTAGTGAGCCAAAACTGGACTTGTTTATCTGCTGTGGCTCTGGGAACTGTGTCCTCCAGAGGCTCTGCTGTGCAGGCTTTTGGAGTGGAGTGAAGTGTTGTGCAGAAGCACATGGTACACAGGGCTGACTGGGGAGAACTCAGGCACTGCGCAAGGCAAATCTCTGCCCAGTGATTACCAATCAATGTATAGCACCAGGAGTGAAAAATAAATTAGATATACTCAAGATGGAGACCATATCATATAAAACCTCCATCAGATGTGAAGCACCCCTTAAAGAAGGAGGAGAGCTGGAAAAAATTTTAAATAGTATCAGTCTGTATCTGTAAGTAGTAGATACCAAGGTGGGGTGTGGGAGGGAACCCACAAAAAACACAAATATACAAAAAAGAAGACACTTTCTTGAATGTCAGGAGGAGCAGAAGATAGATCAAATTGACCTTGTTGGCTTAGAAGTCCTGAGCAAGGATCATGCCCAAATGGGAATGGATAGCTTTAGCCCCAGGGGATCTAAATAACCACAACTAAGGTTACATGGCCTCAGTGCTGTGCCTTTCACAGGACAAACATGTAGAGATACAGCTGTGCACACCACCTCACAGACTGATTAAAATTATTACTTTTCTTATTAATTACTCAAGGTTATTCTCCTGGACTCTACAGATGTTCATTATTATTGTTTTGCCTGACTAGAAGAAATTAAAAGGAATCAAAATCCCAGGAGGTTGTGCTAGGACCAGGTAGGAGCTGCTGGCTGCATTGTTGGAGGCACATGCTAAGCAATGCTGCATAGCTGGACTTGAATGCTGCATGAAGCAGACGTGTGTCAGACTCCAGACTGGGAAAAACACCAGGCCAAGCAAATGCAGTCCTTATTCTTGGTTTTGCTTTTGCAGATGAGTCCAGTGTTTGTTTCAGTTATGCCGGTCAGAGGAGAGTGATAAACCAGATGACTAATACAATGAAGACTTGAACAAATACCTACCCTGTGCAATTCTGGAGTTTCCTGACTTTCTAAATATTCATGCCTAGAGTACTAATCCGTTGTGCTGTCTAACCCTCCCCCAGTCTCTTGTCCCGCAAGCATCATGACTTGATTTGAGCAAACAACAAAAGGTCTTTGTTCTTCTGACAGTATTACACATTGCCAGTGTGTTTTTGTGA